ACAAGTTTGAAACATTTCCGAAACCACAAAACAGTTAAATCCAACGGGGTCTCAAGATGTTTCATCCTCACAGCTGCAGGGACAACATCGGCTTCGGTGTGCCTATTGCTAGCATTCGTTGCAGGCAGTGGCGCCTTTTCCGCCACTGCGCCCAAGGAATTGTTTGTGCTCAAGTCAAATGAATTGGGAAATGGAACCACGAAGTCGTCGGCTCTGTGGAACTTCAAGAAATTCAACCTGTGGCAAGTTTCGCAGGATTACACCAAAGCATGGAAATGTCCTTTAAAAACGATTTTGTTCCGGCCTTTGAAGGTGAAATTTATTCCGTAAATATATGATTGTAAATATATATATATATACGTATGTGTGTATATGCAATATGTTTATTATTTTAAAAAAAATGTATATATATATATATATGTATATATATAAATACTTAGACCAACCCAACCCAACCCTGGAAATTTCCAGGGTGCCAAAAATAACCGAGGTTTTTCGGAAAGAACCGGGGCCTTCCCTTTTCAGTATATTCACATACTGTCCTACCCTTTGGGTGCGCACCTCTTGCCACACGACTGCTGAATTTGTGCTGATGTTATTTGTTTTCTTTTAGGATTGGGTTCGAAGAGGCAACCCAAATCCTTCAAAACCATTCAACTGATTAATTGATTTTTGCCTTCTAAGACCCAGAAAAAAAAATCGGGTTATTATGGGATAATTCCGGGTTCCCTACGGGATAATTACGGGTTCTAATTGGTTTGACCTGTTTTTTTCCACACACCCAAGCATTTCCCAATAAAAATTGGAGAAACCATGACAAAACTGTTTGCAGCCAAAGTCGGAGCCCTCAGTGGCCATAGGTGACCGAAACCAACCATTCAGATCACTCAGGTACAGTACTATGTCTTGGGGACATTCCCCGCCAAAGTGCGGTTTCAACCCGGAAAGTTACCCAATCTGGGAAAATTCGAGGTTTCCCGCAGAACTAAAAAATACCCGAGGTATTGAGCGCCACCATGGAATTTTCCAGGGTTGTGTCGCTCTATAGTTATTTATTTATTCTTTGTATATTCAGATTCATTTATTTACAATTATTTACATGTTTCTGTATTCATATGATTTCAAATATGTGTAAAGCACATTCGTTCCACCTGCGTTTAGCAACAAAAATCATCCATGGGCCAAGCAAAATGGAACTTTACCTGGTGCCTTTCACGTTGATCCAGTTGTTTTGGTAGCGCCGCGTGTAAACACATGAACTCAACGTGCGCATGAGGAGTGTTGTGGCAAGATGTTATATTCAGCCTGATACTGCGTGATTTTCCGTGGGTCACACTGCCGTCGCATATACAACACAGCTCCACAAGGTGGTGCCCCCCCAGTTATAAGTTGGTTTATAATCCCACTAACTATAGATATATCTACCATAAGTCCTTATTATTAGAGTTATAAACCAGCTATCTTGGGGGCCCCACTTTGCAACATCTCTCAAAATCCGAAACCGATATCGAGGTGGATTGTCAAACTACGTTTGGGACTGCAACTTCTGCACACAGATCGGGCTGTTGCAGACTAAAAACAAAATTCTATGGACTTCGAAACAAATTTTGAACTGCCCGGTATGACTTCTGAACATTTTCGAATCAGGCATCTCATGGCACCTCCAACCATCAAAATTCACGTCTCTCAACTTTGACCCTCCCGATCACACAGGCCGCGTGGCTCGAAGTGTGATGCGGTGTTCCAGCCAAAGGTTTTGCAGTTCTTCCACTGGGATCTCCTATCAGGAAATGGCTTCGGAAATTTGAGTTCTTGCAGGTAGTGCAAGAACCCAGGCATAAATCCACCTGTTTTCACCGCGTGCGGGTACACCTTTTCTACACACGCCTAGGTTGACTTCTATCCCCCTAGACAATAGGTAGCATGTACTGCTTTTGAAATGATCTAGCGCCCTTGGATCCTAGGGCCGCGCAAACAATAGTATTCAGCTCGTGGTAGCCTGTCGATGGCGGAAAAGAACAAAACATTGAGCAACCAATGCATGGCTGACCCTTAGATGCCATAGATTTTGGTGCCCATGGTTTAGCTACTACGCGGTCTAGCTCATCATCTAGGACCAGCTGAGGTGAGCGTCACTTCCAGTTGTTGCGGCAAACGGGTGTGCCTTTCAGTGCCCGACGAACCGGTACAGATCTGTCATCTGGGGCATCGTCCGGAAGATTTGTTCTGTCCGGAGTCCATTGTGTGGTTGATAGCCCTCGGTAAACTTTCAAGGAGCAGGGTAAACACAGAATTTTGTCAAGATTTATCCCATGCCATGCTCAGTACCCGCTTTTGACATCTTGGGGCCACTGTCGCCTATAACAAATGATACAAAATATAAAATGGTCATGGTCTCTCAATTGCAATGTATTCGAATGTTTTTTGATGGTTGATCCGTGTTGAGCCATCAATACTGTATGGAATACCGCAATGGTTGATTGATTAATTACCAGTGAATAGTGTAAGACTAATCATTATCGATTACTAGTACTCATCTTACTGGTGCTTAATAGGGAATGGATGGGAATGGGGGAATGGGATGATTATTGATAGTTATTGTGGATCATTCCCTCATTCCCTGCTAAGCACCAGTAAGTCATGTGATCTAACAATTCTGGACGCTTCACAATCCAGTTTTGGCCCAAGTCATAGTCAGAAGTGTCACCCCCTTTATGGAATGATGGCCCCATAGAAAGAACCATTTACAGTTATGGCCATGGCTATTAATGAACTAACTGGTTATTTCTATGGGATTATACATTCTATTTTGTTGGGGTGTTCTTAGTATTTATAACTGGTATGACTCGGGCCTTAACTGTAGAAGTGGTATTTCGGGCCCCATCTGCATGAGTCATGCAGTCATGATCGTTTCATTCACCAATCGATGGGGAAGATTCCACTTGAAGATTGGGGCACGCAACAGGCGCCGGCAAAGGCTCCCGTATACCCTCTCCACCATTAGGAAATCCACACAGGATGGTGCCCCCCAGTTAGGATTGTTGGTTTATAACCCCCATTAACTATAGTTATATCTGCCATGAATCATAGTTATGGGAGTTATAAACCAACTTAGCTAAGTATGGGGCACCACCTTGCAGGAAAAAAGGAATTATCAATGAAACACCACTAAAGAATCCTATCATAACCCCGATCATTTTACAGCCATATTCTTACTTAACAATGCTCCCTTAATGGGCTTAAAGGATTATCGGAATAACACTACTTCAATCATTGTTAACTGGTAACCTGTACAAAGTAGGCCCGCCCTGTTTACGATAGCTAAGATTTCACTAAGGTTTATGGTACGAACTAGTGACTGGGATTTAAACCGACAAACGTCACTGGGAAGGCCACATTGTATCCGCCTAATATCAAACACCCTTCAATCATCCCAAACAAGTATATATACGCGGTTTCATTCCTTACTAAACCATGCTTTTTGGCGACATGTTTAATATACATTGGGGAAGGGATCAGTTAGATGTTCCAGGGACTGCCACTGGGTTGGATCGGCAAATCCATGAGTCTGGTAGTTCCAATATGTGAATTACTCATGAATATGACAAGAAACATGATCAGTCAGTAAAAACACAACTGTAATTCATGGTGTATATATATATATATACACATATATATATATACCGATAAAAAAATACATGAATGAATGAATGAATGAATGAATGAGTGAATGAATGATTGAATGAATGAATGAATGAATGAATGAATGAATAATATATAAATAAATAGGTTTTAAAAAGGTAGTAATATTATAGAAGGTCTATAGAGGCGACAATTTTAATTCATGGTGTAAATATAAATATATATATATATGATCCACTCTCACAGCGCCAGCATAGCCATTTCTTTTCATGCAAGCACTCAACGAGAATGGTTTCAAGGTTGAATCGGTGATACTGCCGCTGAATGTTGCACACAAAGAACTTTGCTGAATGTGTGCTACTGCGCTCCCCAGGTTCAACACCACGAGTGGCGGTGGAGGAGAGGAGGTGGTTGAGCTTGAAATGATGCCAGCGGCGTCATGTTATCTTTCCATCATTCCCCAGTAAACATAGTCCATGATCCACTCTCACAGCGCCAGCATAGCCATTTCTTTTCATGCAAGCACTCAACGAGAATGGTTTCAAGGTTGAATCGGTGATACTGCCGCTGAATGTTGCACACAAAGAACTTTGCTGAATGTGTGCTACTGCGCTCCCCAACCCACTGTCACTAGTGTTCTGTCAAGATGGTGGCAATTTGATGACACAACAGCCATGGATAGGGTTGAGCCCTGCGGGTCATCCATTGACCTCCTGAGTCTTTGCCGACCAGGACAATGTGTTTTCGGTTGGTAAAAACGCAGCGACCACAAACGCTGTGACATTCACATGCTAAGTCCTTTAGAGAGAAAGGCCCACCAAATAAAATTCCAGTGGCTTTTCTCCATGGCATTTGAAAAGCACAGAAATCAACACGAATCATTGTGAATCTTCGAATCCAGTCGGCCAGTTGAGGGGTCAACCAAATACGACTAGTCCATGGGTTTTCAACAGCCCAGCAAATGTTGAGAGCCACGCATGTAGATATGATGCGCTCGGTGACTGCGAGGAGCAAATTGCCCTCATTAACTTTGTCTGCATCTGACTTGGAGAGATCGGCAAATCCAAAAAGATTGTCTGCATCGTCTCTGAGCGGTCTGGGTCCGCCATCATTCTTTCGTGCACGGCTCCATGTTGTGCAGGGTGTACCAAGCCAAACCAAGACTATGTCATGTGATTTTTTGTGAAGAAAGCGCAAGATCTTGTTCAAAACCTTGGGGTTCAAGACATCACAAGCAATACCATAGTCAATATCATATGCTATAGAGATAAGGCCAGCCGATGCGCATGCTTGAGAAAGCCTTGCACATCCACTGAAGATCTCCAGAACATATCTAGGTCCAGCTGAGGTGGTCTGGTTCACAGGCCGAAAAATTTTGGGCCCGCCTTCACTATCTCCTGCTCCGCAAGTTGCGCCTTGTTCTGAACATGTTTCGGCAGATCGTTGAACTCTTGGTTCAGTCTGGCATGTGCTTCGTATCTTCGGACCGTTGAGTCGGCGGCCCATCGTCCGCGTTGTTTCACTTCTGTCAGAGGTCTCAACTTGAAGAAGCGATCGTGTGAGGGACCTGAGTGCCTTAGTTGATATAGCACTGCATGGTCCTTGGCCAGTCCCAAGGCTTTGAGAGCGCCCTGCCACGCTTGGACCAAGTCGTAGTAGGTCAAGCTCAGGAGAAAGTTGTTTGGGGTCTGCAGCCTGTTCAGAGCTGGGCCCAACCATGGAAGCAGCGGCGAATCCAGGAGGATGCTTTCGTCTGCCAAGCCCACCTTGGATCTTTCTTGCCGCTCTGCAGGATGCAGTAGCAAAGACCAGTGCTCCTGTCTTGGCATCGGCGCCACCAGGTCTGTTTTTCTGAGGTCCAACACTTCTCCTGGTCGGAGATATGCTGTGAAGCTGAGGAGGATTGCTGCTGCCGCATGCAATTGATGGCGTTTCATCATGTGCATAGTCATGGCTGCAACCAAGGCCCAAGGCAGAGGCGGTCTGGTTCGTTGAGGCTCCAACTTCAGCCACCCTTGAAGGGACCGTCTGGTCCGGGCTAGAATGTGCTTGGGGCCACAGCCTGGGAACGTGTCGCACACGGCTGCGAGGAACTTTGTGCCTTCTGCCAGTTCGAAGCCTTGATCGAACATGTAATTCATGAAGCAGTTGCAGGCCTCGTCTAACTTCTGTGTGTTCTTTCTCAAGCTGACCTGGGGCATCTTCATCATCCTCAGGAACTGAAAGAAGCTCTGCATTCTTCGGTGGTAGTCTTCGGCCACCGGCTGTGAAACAGCCATAGTCTCCAGAAAAGTCTGATTTTGGAAACGTTTCGGTCGCTGACACTGTTGTTTCAGCTGCTGTCTCATGGTCTTCTTTTCTTCGCGGGTCATGTTGAGCGACTTCTTGGGCATGTCTCTTGTCATACGTTTGTTGTGGGGAGCATCTGGATCGGCCATCAGCAGGCCTTGCACCAACTGGACCTGCGGCTTCCTCTTTCTGGAAGGCGCTTCCGCCAGCAGCATGTCTCAGGTGCTCCCACTGTCTGGAAGCTGAGTCAGCGACGTTTCGTTCACTAGGCACGCATCTCACTTGCAATGCACTGTCCGTTGCAAGTAACAAACATGCCAAACGTCTACAAACCCTGAGCATACCAAAAGTGCCAGACCTACCCTTTGAGCAGAGTAAAACCACACTCATATTGTCTGTAAAGTGCAAATGTTTCATGCCAAACTGCTGTGTTGCCCGAAACTTGTGCCTAAGTGCAGCCACCACCCCTCTGCCTTCCAAAAGAGTGATGTGCTCAGCATGTTGCATATGGATAGCAAAACACTCGGCCCACTGATCTTTTTGCATAACATCTTCTTCTATGTCAGGAAAATCAAAGTTGAGCTCATAGGGATCACTACGCTTCACTGCCAAAGGCTTGACAGTGCTGGGATCACTAAAAGGGTCACCAGTTTCAACCAAAACTTCGCGAGGTCTCACCGGATTTCCACTGACATAACGCCAAGTTTCCCTAACACGGCCATGCCTCGCAACCTCTCTCACTGGCAAGTCGCGTGAGCACACGGCCACACCTGACAGGGAAGCATCTGAAGTGGTCACCATAGAACTCCACGGTCTCTTTAAACTTACACTGCGCAATTTAAAAAGATGCTGAGCCCAGTTTGCCTCTCTTGCCGCCGAAGCCCAAAGTCGCTGTCGTTTGTTGTAAGACCTAGCTACAAAATCATATAAAGATCGAAATATAGATAGGAGTTCTCGTCGCAACATAGCAAAATGAACTGCATGTCCCAACAGCCGTTCAACCGCCTTGCCATTGACGCGAGGACGCGTAGCCAACCATCCAAACACCTGCAAGACTTTTGTCCAACGATCTGGAATGGGTGTTATGCAAAGTTGTTCTCCATCTATCAAAAAACCAAGAGATTGTGCTAGGGTAGTGGCCTCTGTCTCTTCATGGACTCGGAAGCCATGATGTCGTAGCCTGGCAACGATTTCTTCCTTGACTTGCTGAACTCGCTGCTGGTCCGTTCCAGCTACATTCAAGTTATCTGCATAGGGTATCAATACAACCTCGCCTTCAGAAAGGTCTGGAGCCGGTCTCCCCTCCACCAAGAGTCGAGAGGTGTCCAGCGACGAAGCCTCCAGGCAAACATTCTGGTGCACTCTTTGTGCAATGTACATGGCCCAAGACCATCCCATGGGAATGACCCGACATCTCGGCCATACCCACCCTGAACTATCCACCAAACCATCCCCTGGCATTGCAATACCCCAGTCCCGCAAATACTGCATGGAAATAGGAGGGAGGCAAAAAAGATGTTGAAGATCAGGAGGTAGTTCAAGGGAAAAGAAATAATCTCGTATGTCTGACTGAGCCACATACAAATGCTCGCCTGAAGGCACTTCCAGTTGTGACCACGTTGAGCCTGCCGCCAAAGCAAGCGGAGGTGGATCTCTGAATCTTTTGTTGACGCCCCTGCAATCAAGAATGAAACGCAAACGCCCGTTCTTCTTCACCACAAAAAACGGGGTGACTAGATCACCAGGCCTCAAGGTAAAATCGAACATGCCCTTGTCCACCAAATCTTTGATGAACACGGCATAGAGTGCCGAATCGGCCTGGAGCCGCGGGTCCATGTATGGCTGGAAGGTTTCATCATGCTCAACCATCTCCCCCCACTCCTCACTGTCTCGCAGCATAAAAGCTAGGGGATCCTTGACAAGTTCTCGACCTCGATCATCCATCACCTGAGAGAGCGGAATGGGTTGATCGCCACAATCAGGGAGGGATACCAGGTCTCGGTCATAGGGTCGGACCGTATTCGAGGTTTCTTCACCATCATAGGTGGAATTGGTTCGCAGAAGCTCTTGGACAGCCTCTTGCACTGTACATGGTGATGTCGGAGATTTGAAACGACCTAGTTGCTTGTAAATACTATGCTGACTATCACGTTGCGCTAGAGTAACCGAAACCAGATGGTCTCCACTTATCTGTGCACAATACATATCATTGAGACAGTCAACTATTGAATTAGCCTGCTCCGCCTTCTTCTGCACCTTGATGCTCCGTCTCTTTGAAGAAACCGAGGAGCCTCGCCGCACATCACAGGGGGGCAAAGGTGGTAGTGGAAAAAGGTCACGCCAGCGACCAATTGAATCATCTTGGACCTGGCCTCCTTCCACAAAATTGCGGGCCCCAACATGGTGCCCATCCGCAGCTCGATCACCACGGCAGCTGGACTGAGCTGCAAAGCCCAGCTGCTGTCCACCACTCATTTTTGATCACCGCCGCCTCCACCCTGAGCACCTTTCCCAGGGTTTTTGCGGCGCATGGATTGCTCTTCACGAGCCTTTCGTGCCTCTTTCGTGCCTCCTTCGCAATGGCTGCCTCATCCTTAAGAGCCTGAGCCACATGTGATGCCAGCTGCATGTCGACGCCCTGTGCTGAACGTCGCCACTTCCAGCCCATGAAGTGATCTGCTGATGAGTAATCTGGGGAACTCGGAGAGATGCGATGAGCTTCTCTGATCACTTGAAGTCGACGGCAGATCAACTCGGCACCCTGCAGGGCACAGATGTTGAGCTGGTCCACAGTGATCAATGACTCCAGGATTCGACTCAAACATTCATGCTCATATGTGCTTCGGTCTCCTTTCGGAATCTCGGCAGACCTCAACCAGTACTCGTGAAAGGTGGTGGGGGTCAGGTTCTGATCTCGCATGCTCTTGACCAAATTGAGTGATGAGGTGGGACCATCCAATTGAAGGCCTCCACCCTGAGGCACACCATCTTTCATGGAAGCAACCGCATCACTAAATTCTCTTCGCCTCACTCCTTGACCATCAAAAACCACAGGCAAAATTCGAAGATCATCCAAGGCATAGCGCGCCACTTCAGCCCGCGACACCTTCTTGACAAAACAAGCATCCGCACCACCAGGACCAGGCACAAGAGCCTTGTTGCCCATGAGCACATGCCCTACTGGAAGTGGATTCGGATCTTCACAAATGATCTCCCCTTTCTTACGGCCTGCAGAGTCTTCCATGGCCACCCATACATCAGCGATCCCTGCACCGCAACCACCGGCACTGCCCCAGCCCCACCCAAAGCTCCTGGTGGAGCAGCTGGGGCAATTGGTGCAGGAGGCGCAGGAGCCGCCGGTAAAGGTGCCGGTCCGCCAGCTGCCAATGGAGCCATACCCAAACCAGCTCGAATGATGTTGGCCGCAACACGTCCATCTGCCAAGTGACGCGCCAGTGAGCCAGGATCCATTGGAGCAAAACCATACACCTGACTGGCAGGGATATGTCTAGGAATATGTGCGTGCGAGCCCAAATAGATGAAATCAGTAAGGTCCGTGTTGCGTGGAGACATCTGCTCCTCATAGGAGTCCATGTCTGGCGTCAGCACCATCCAGCAGTCAACGCTGGTAGGTGCTAACAGGAGCCGCACATGATAGAGAGGAGGCACCTCTCCGTAGTTCACCAAACACAACTGTCCAGGTTCCATCATGATTTCTTCAGGACACTATGGATAAGACTTGACCCTTGAATCCCTTCTTGCCTTTGCTAGGTGACTCAGACGGCCACTGACCAATATCCTTCAATCGGTAAATCAAATAGCCAGCCCCGCCACACATCAACAGCACGACCAATAGAAAACCCAACAGAATCAATCCAAACCCAGAGTGCTCCTCCCTTGAGACACACTCACAGGTGCACAGACAATTGCAGGGTGCCACTTTGACCTCCTGAGTTTGAACCAAGGGCCTCAATGTCCACCCAAGAATGAATGCTGCACCAGGGGCGATCCAATGTTCCATTGGGACGGTCCGGGATTTTTTGAGCTTGAAATGATGCCAACGGCGTCATGTTATCTTTCCATCATTCCCCAGTAAACATAGTCCATATATATGCTATATGGTAGTAATTGCTACTGAACATGCCTAGAAAAACACTGCCCAACCATAAGGCACAATGGCCACGCATCACTGTTCAACACCGTGGCATCGGGTTATCATGCCTGGCAAGGTGGAAAAGCTACAATGTGGGGCCCCTTTGTTGGTTCATGAACCCCAGTAACAAGTTTGTTGTAAGTACCATAAACAATAATTTCAAGTTGTTTTATAAACATCGAAATACTAGTTACAAGATGTTATAAGTACCATAAGCAATATAGTGAATTTGGAGTTATGTTCACCAACTTTGCTATCGTAAACGGGGCCCCACTTTGTACCAATCAACTTGTAATTGCTGAAAAATAAGCCACGTTGATCACGTTGTATATAATTTAATCTATAATGTGCCCCCCCAGTTAAAAGTTGGTTAAAAGTCCCAGTAACTGTAGTTATAGGTACCATAAACCATAGTTATTGGAGTTATAAACCAACTTAGCTATCGCTTGGGGTCCCCAGTTTGTACGATCATTGAAGCACTTCGCCGGGGCTCCATCCCTTTCCTACCGACAAAAGAGGATCCGCCGGGGGATCTTACAGACGCCCATTTAGCAGCACCAGCTCTGCGTGCATGGTTTTTGGAAGCTCTACAAGGTGGTGCCCCCCCCGTGATGTTTGTTGGTTTAAAATGCCATTAACTAGTTCGATCTATCGACCATAAGTCCTAGTAAAATTAGAGCTATGTTCACCAACTTAGCTATCGTAAACGGGGGCACCACATTGTACAAAAGGTCCCTGATAATTCGATGCCGTTGGGTAAAAAGAGTTGATGACTTCGGCTGATGAGGGGGAAAACACTACATTGTGAACCAAGTCTTATCAATGGGAATTCCAGGGTCCTAAAATGGAGGTACTGTTCCATATAAGGCCATATTTTGGGGGTATATCCGCTTACATAGCCCTAAAACATAGGCCTTATATATGTTAGGTACCTCCAATAAATCGGTTCCTGTTGCATGGCCATTGATCTTATGATAGTCAATTTTGATGATGAATACCCATTAATATTGTCCCGAAATCTGTAAAGACAACATGTCAGATCTATGCTGAGTGATATGAGTAATTAGTCAATTTGATACAGTTATGGCCATTTATTAGTTATAACTGGTTACAAATGGGATTATACATTCTATAAATGGGCTTATAAGTACTTATAACTGGTATTTCGGGCCTTAACTGTAGAACTGTCTGTTACAACTATTTGGATCTCTTTGGGGGGTTTAACTATGACCATCAATGGTGCTTATAAATGATAAACCCACTTGAAAAAAGCCTCACCTTGTACCTTCACCCTGGATACACCGTGTGTAGCCATGTTTTTTTGGCGAGGGCTGACTGGCTTATCTCCCGAATGATCCAGCTGAGGACCAAGACTCTCAAGAACCATTCACAACATGTTGCGATTGAACATGGCCATAGAAATAGTGGATTTATGTGGATTTACCAACTAAAAATAGTGATTTTCCATGGTTTTTTGTATGTTTACCAGGGGGTGTATATATATATATAATTGGTTGGTGGTGCAGTTTCACCATCTTGAAAAATGACGGAGTTCGTCAATGGGTTTCGGATGACATCCCATATATGATGGAAAAAAGATTGAAACCACCAACCAGATAACCTTTACTTGGTCCATGTTCAACCCCACCCGCAAAGATTTGAATCTGTACAAGGTGGTGCCCCCCCAGTGATGTTTGTTGGTTTATAATCCCATTAACTATAGATATATCTACCATAAGTCCTAGTTATTAGAGTTATGAACCAACTTAGCTATCTTGGGGGCACCACATTGTAGTTCATAGTTCCACTTGACTTAATCCCAAAAACAAAAAATGGTGGTAAAACAATGCCATGTGTACCACCCATGACTGGGAATGGTAAACATACCACCTATAAAAAATTGTGAAATTGGGAATGGTTTATTATTATTGCTTTACCAAAATTCAATTATTATAAGATGTTCCCACACATGGATCCATGTTCTTTGAAATACGTTTCTTTCTCCGAGAGGTAAAGTTGCGTGAATTTGCCGTGGAAAAAAACATGATCAAACCTACAGTTCGGGGGACCCAATTCGTACGTGGTTCAACAACATCCATGGTTGACCCAATTATATCTGGCAAATAAGCAGTGGTACAACCTCGGATGAATCAACCACTAAGCTGTTTAATTATGGTGGTACTATTTTAACAAACAATTATCATCTTCTTTAGGGTACCTTCCCAGATTAATCAACCATTACAAAGTGGGGCCCCCAAACGATAACTAAGTTGGTTTATTACTCCCGTAAATATGTTTGATGGTACTTGTAAATATTCTTAAAGTGGTTAATAAACCAACTTTCACATCAGTGCGGGGGCCCCACATTATACAAGAAATAAACATTGCCAAGCTTAGATACCCTGCAAACAAATAAATTCTTTGCTGGTTAGTAGATATTCCCATTAATACCAAAGGACTAAAGGATTAAAGTATCCATGTAATATTGACCTAGTAAAGAGCATTCTCCAATTACATACTCCAATTACCTTGTAGTGGGATGCATGCGGATAATCCTTGCGCTTTGGGGTACCCAACAGATCGTTGTAGCAGCTCAGTCGACTTTCTAATCCATGGAAAATTCACAAACAAGTTGAACAAATTACCCTTCACCAGTTGGTTTACTTGCAGTTATATACAACCTCATACTGTTCCATAGTCCCTGCTGGTACTAAAATCATGTTCGTTGAATTTCGGTAGGAGCGTGCTAATGAATGATTAAGGGCCTATTGATGCATCAGGGCGATTACATTGCCAATCAGCCAGATACCCTGCAAAAAATGACAAATTCTTTGCTGGTGAACGTAGATATTCCCATTTTCATACCAAAAGACTAGTTAGGATTTGTTTGTATCCATGTAAGATTGACCTAGATTATAGACACAAACGGAGGTTTCCATCCAGTCATCGGGGTACCCCTAGTTCTCATCCATTTTCGATGCGGATCCATTTTCACATCCAGCGAGGGGATCCCGGGGATCCCATGACTTTTTGGCCAGATTCAGGCCCGTTACGTTGTACCACTTATAGGTACTTAGAAAACCTAATTTATACAAAGTGGGGCCCCCAAACAATAGCTAAGTTGGTCAATAACTCCAATTTCACGAACTGGTTTATGGTACGCAAATAACGAACTAGTTACTGGGGATTATAAACCAACAAACATCACTGGGGGGCCCCACATTGTAGAATGTATAATCCCATTTATAACCAGTTACAACTAATAAATGGCCATAGTGTAGGAACTCCCCATATCAGCTTCCGTCCTTGCCATCTTCTCGCAAAATCATCCACCCGGCTTCATCCTGGGACTGCGACTGGGGCTATATGCTGGGATCGCCCTGTGGAGAACGTCGGATTCATGGAGAAGGGAGCAACAAACAAATATGTTCTTTCCTGAAAAGCACTGGAAGGCATACAATCCAAAAGCATATAAATATAAAAAATATTGAGAAAAACTATAAAAGTATTAAATCTTGTGAATTGAGCTGAGAGTAGTTGCACACCAAGAGGCACCATTCGGGATAAATCACCCAAGGGGTAAGATACATTCTGATGGAGATCAGAGTTCGCCAAACTAAGAAGCTTTCCAAAGGCAGGGTACCCGGCTGGATGGTTTATTTCAAAATCCGAAATTTTAATGGATAATTTGGGAGCAACCCGATTTTAGGACACCTCCAACTAAGAACCTTATCAACATTGCCTTGAAAATTATGATATACCCTCTGGTAATTTAACATAGCTATTGAAAATGGTCATTTATAGTTGTTTTCCCTATTAAAAATTGTGATTTTCCATAGTTATGTTAGTTTACCACAGGGTAATGTGGAAAACCCAATGCCATAAACCTATCATTTGGGCATGGCTGGACTGGCACTTATGGTGATTTGGGGGGAAGGTTTAATATTGGGTTTACCACATTATATGCCAATTACATCCGACTATATACCATGATATCCCATTACACTCCCATGATATTGCCATAAAATGCGTTGGTTTTACATTTTTTTCCATTAAGAACAAGTTTTCCTAAATGGCATCAGTTTTTTTGTACCAGGAAGGACCAAAACGTCCATCTCTGAATGTCCCTGAGTTCAGGTCAGATGGGTAGCAGCATGGACATCAACATTCCCATGGCAACCAAACATGGCAGTGGAAATCCCACCGAAAAAATGAAGGTTTTAATGGGAACATCATCCCTATATATATATATATACACACACGTACGTGTATATGAGAAATTGTTCATTGCCATGTTTGATGACCAGAGGGTATGTGCAAAGATTAACAAAGCCTAATCTTGACCTTTACTTCTCAATCAAATCATATAATCTCTTCTCCCTATTACTGAAACTCCCCCAACTAATAAAAATAGGAATGGATTGGCAATTGTTTTTTTTTGTGGTGCGTTACATCTGCGTTCTTAACTGTGGTAATTGAAAATCAATGAGAACAAAATGGTGAAATAATGGTTTGTACCCTCTATTTATAAAAATTGGATCACACCTTCTGTTTTTTTTAACTAGGGTCCTAATTATTTCCTTGCGCCCTGTCCCATCTTTCTGTTCTGTGCCTCGTGGCTGGCTGGCTGGCTTTGATACCACATAAGTAATTAAAACAACTGTGGCCCTAGAAGTTAAAATTATTTGGGGGGATGCCTATATTGAGGCGGCTGTTCAGTTGAGCCTGTCAGCATGCCTGAGCCTGTTTGCCTTGCTGAGTGGCAAACTTAAAGGCACACAACGAGGTAGCCAAACGGCGGGCCCACTTGTCTGGCTGACTGCCTGGTCTGAGCTAGCTTCTCTGTCAACCGCTGGCCCACTGTCTCGCGTTGGCTCAGGTGTCTGTCTCTGTCACCTTTCGGGTTCGTGTGGGTGTCCTTGGGTCAATTTGAAGCTGGAGTGACGAACCGTGATGGTGATGGGCTGTTGAATGTTGAATGTTGATGCTTGGGGCGAGGGCGAGTGCACTACCTGGCTGTCTGGCTGGGGCCTGTCTCGAGCTCAAAACAGAAACAATCTGACTGGCTGACATGGCAGCAACCCAAATGCTAACACTAATACTAAATACCCCTTAATAATCAAAATGGATCACCGTTTACCATTTGGGGGGTGTTTTAGTATTAGGGAGCAGAGATTATTGGCTAGTGATACTAAACAATTTGTGCTCCCTCTATTGAAGACTTGTGTTTATAAGATTACGGATACATCCAAATGTATTGCAAAAGGTTGGCGAACAAAACTACCCATCCACGATTGACCCACAATACAATTTGAAAACCTATCTGCTCATGTGGTGTTTGTCCGGAAATGTGGTCTATCCCAAACTTGCTATTGCGATTGCTGTAGAACATAATTTTCCAAAACACTTGCAAAGTAGGGCCCCCAAACGACAGCTAAGTTGGTGAACATAACTCCAATAACTATGGTTTATGGTGCTTATCACGAACTAGTTACTGGGGATTTTAAATCAACCAACGTTCACATCACGTTTGGGGGCCCCACATTGTGGATATGTTTGTCACAAACCAAAATGATGGAAACAAAACCCATGGCCTCACCGAGTTGGAAAAAAACGCATTGATTTACCTGGGTACAGTTAAGGCCCGGGTTGTACCAGTTATAAGTACTAAGAAAACCCCATTTATAGAATGTATAATCGCATAGAAATAACCAGTTATAACTAATAAATGGCCATAACTGTAAATTATCATATGGCCATGCGTCAAAACCTATTATTTCCAAAGTTTGGAGAATAAGACATCCCTTCAGACATCTATTTTAGGGTACCGTTTGGGTACCAGAGTTCTGGCCATTAACACTCATAAATGGACATATAGTGCTATAACTAGTTGGTTAAATCATCATGAAATAATCCCATACAAATAATTGATAGTTGGGCGATAACTGCAGGCTTTTGTAAGATATCATAATTAATTCCTGCAGTAGCTAGTTCGTTATTTGCGTACCATAAACCATCATAAACCAGTTCGTGCAATTGGAGTTATGTGGCCCCCAACTTAGCTATCAAGAATCAGCGATTCAAATCCCATTAAATATCCCAACTTGTCTTGCTGAAAAAACCATGTTGAATCCCTCCTTGCTGGCTCATCCCACAAATCGTAAGCGGGTTATAATCCCAGTGATTTACATAGGATAAGGAGCGGGTTAATCCACTTAGAATTGGGGTGAACTAACCCACTTACGATTCGTGGGTAGTTCGCCACCAAGTATGTTTCTATGGTTTCTAACCCATTCATAGGGGGCCCCGCTTACGAGCCGTGCCACCAGCCGCTTACGACCCCATCAATCCAGGCTACCTGTGAGGCCGCTGCCACGTTGGTCAAGGGCAAGTGGAGAAAGGCTTTGGATGCACCTGCAGTTTTGTTGGCCGGAAATGCCACTTATAATATCTGGTTGGTGGTTTCAACACCTCTGAAAATATTAGTCAGTTGGGATGATTATTCCCAATATATGGAAAAATAAAATTCACTTACCCTCTGGTAAATGGCTTAAATCACTTACCCTCTGGTAAACATACAAAAAAAACGATGGAAAATCACAATCGTTAATGGGTAAATCAACTATTTCAATGGGCCATTTTCAATAGCTATGTTAAATTACCAGAGGGTATATAATATTATATATATACCCAGGACTTCAAAAGACATAGTTAAACCACGAGGTACACGAAAGACACGGTAAGACCACGACGTGCATACATCGTCAAATTAAGGTATCGATTTTATCATCATCACTCTCATGTTCATGCCATAAAACACATGATGATCAAGTAAAGTGTATGCTTCACCATCATCATTCTCGTGTCTATACCACCAGGCACACACAGGGTAGCCGTTAGTCACTGTTGGCTCACGGTTGGCTCACGGTTGTCTCACGGTAAAACCTTGACGCCAATACACAAAATCACGACGTTCGGGGGGGGGGTCTCACGGTGTCTCACGGTTGTCTCACGGTGTGATCACGGCTGCTAAAACCACCAGCTTCCACGCATTTGTGTGTTAAATTCAGCTAAAGGTGATATTTTTCAGAGCATCAGAAACCTTGGAATAACAGCCAGCATCATGAAATGATGAGTTACTCCTTAGATCAGAATATCAGCATGGATTCTGGTAAAACCACGACGTTGTGCTGGATCATGGTTAAACCACGGCCAGGAAGTCCTGGGTATATATATATATATGTGTGTGTGTGTGTAACTGGTTATAAGTGGTTATATTTTTTTATAAATGGTCATTTCTATGTGTTAATGATAACACATCATTATTTGTAATGCTATTTTCTATAGGGTGATAATTCCATTTCTATGGGGTTATGAAAACTGACTCATAACTGGTGTTTTGGGCAAAATAACATGAATGGAAACTTCTCAATACAATGCTTGGTTAACGGGGGGGCCCAGCTCATGGAATCAGATTACAGTTCTATATGTATATATACCTGGTTGGTGGTATACCTACCCCTCTGAAACATATGAAAGTCAGTTGGGATGATTATTCCCAATATATGGAAAAACAAAACATGTTCCAAACCACCAACAAGATACATATTGGATTCCCATATATTGTTGGGTAGTATAATGTATAGCCCCTGTTACTAATTGCATTAATTCATCAAGCACCATTCATCAAGAAAAAAACATTATGTTCGCTTCTCACCACACATATCTGTTGGTTGGAATCCCCCAAGCGTCATCTACTCAATGGCCATCCAGGAACCCAAATTGGAGGTACCTACCATATATAAGGCCTATTTTTCAGGCCTATGTAAGGGGACATACCCCCAAAATATGGCCTTATATGGTACAGAACCTCCGTTTTAGGATCCTAGAATTCCCATTGATCTACCTACAAGGTATTAAAAAACGTCAACTTCGCTATCAACTTAGCTATCAACTTAGCTATCGTAAGCTTTGGAGCCTCACCTTGTACTGCTTTGAGGTTGATGTCAATACGCTTCTGGCCCGAAATACCAGTTATAAGTGAGCGAAATAAGCCCATTTATGGATTTATGGAATGATAACCTTATTCCATAAATTTATCTTATAGCATAGAAATATATCTATAACTATACACCCTATTTATAGGCATACAAATCATCATTTATAATCATTTATAACTGGTATTTCCAGCCTGAAAACTGGTATCTTTACGATCTACGGGCGCCAAGGTTTGGACTGCTGTCAGTCAGGAGCTGTTTAACATCCTTGGCGGCCGATGGCACGGAAAAAAAACACCCTGGCCCTCTGAATAATTAGTAAACTGCAGTTATGGCCATGGCTATTAGTGAACTAACTGGTTGTAAATCTATGGGATTACAAATACATTCTATTTTGATGGAGTTTTCTAAGTACTTATAACTGGCATAACTCGGGCCTTAACTGTGGTTGGTGGTATACATACCCCTCTGAAAAATATGAACGTCAATGGGAAGGGTGACATCCCATATATGAAATGGAAAAAATCCAAACCACTAACCAGTAAAATAGTGTGTGAGTTACAAAGTGAACCTCCCAAAGCATTGATTTAAATTTGATTTATAAATCCAATAATCATGGTTTATAACACTTAAACCTATAGCCTATAGTTAACACTAGTTAACAGGGTTTATAAACCAACAAACATTACTTGGGGACCCCAAAATATGGGATTTCATTGCTTTTGATCAATTTCCCTATCTTCCTGCGTCCCTTTGGGTTTGTCTGAAAACAGGTGATTCACCATGTAAGGAAGTATTGATCAAACATATGACCAGAAAACCATGTTTTCTTTAGGTAGTGCAATTCCAAGAAAAACCTACAACCTCAGTTAAAAGTTGCTTTTTAAACCCATAAATACACTATACTAATAATAGTTAATATTTAATAATCCCCTATAAACCATAGAATTCACCAATTATTTGCGTCAACATCTCGCGTTTTCGTCAACGGGGGCTTCACCTTGTCCGAAAGTTCGTGGCTGATGGAGAGCCACACATTCGTTACATTCACCGGGATTGATTCAGGTCCCCGACGTACGGTGTGGTAACCGTTAGGGTGTTATCCAAAGCAGGGTGCCACAAAAACCCAATTCATGAAACGTGAGTCACAATCAGTTATGGCCATGGCTATTAGTATTATTAGTTATAACTGGTTATTTCAATGGGAAATGAGCGTAGCATCAAGAATCATGTGGAAATGCCAATGACGTTATCATCCCACCCCACCCCACCCCACCCCACCCCACCCCAGACTATCGGATGCGGATGTGTGGAATTGCAATTGAAGATCATGAGCGTAGCATCAGTCATGTGGAAATGCCAATGAAGATCATAGAGCGTAGCATCATCATGTGGCCCCACCCCACCCCAGACTATCGGATGCGGATGTGTGGAATTGCAATTGAAGATCATGGAGCGTAGCATCAGGATCATGTGGAAATGCCAATGACGTTATCATCCCACCCCACCCCACCCCAGACTATCGGATGCGGATGTGTGGATTTGTGCGACGGTAACGAGTCCGTTGGCAAAAACTAGTAGTTGACCAAAACGACCGCACACCAATTTGTCAATTTTGTGATGTGAGGAGTGCTCTGTGGTAGATGAGGTGCAGGGGTTGAGTTCCACATAGGATTCCACATCTGGTCCAGGTGATTTGAGGAGTTCACGAGAATGCCAGGGGTCCAGCAAAAATAAATCCGGACCCCACTGTCGGTTTTCAGAATTCCCTGATAGATTGTTCTATTTTGGTTTTCGCAGGTTTGTTTCCAAGAGAGGTGACGACAGAGAACACCTGAAAAAGTGCTACAAATCCTGAATTCAAGTACGAACCCGCGACCAAATTGTGCGTTACAAAAACTTTCAAAACGCTAGCAAAACCCAACAAACAGGCACAAATCAGGAAAAGCGGGTCGAATCTGCTTTTTCTGATCCTGCCGTGGTCGTGCCCGGTGGTTAATTTAATGACTCCTTCTTGAGTTTGGATTGGCACTTTACAGGTTGGACACTAGCTATGGTCAAAGTTAGGTGCCGTACCATGTTTCCAAATCGCCTTTGCACCCGCATAGCTGGCTGAACCCACATGACCATTTTGGAAACAACCAAATCGACGACATGTTTTTGGAAACGCCTAGTTTTAGTAGTACAAATCACATTGTCCTGAAATTTCTGGTAGAATGACAGTCCATTATATATGTATGCTGTATGTAAAAAAAAATATATTTGTATTATATACATCAATATCATTAAAATATACATGCATTCTACATAACCATACACCTACCTATGTATATATATATATACTAAGATTAATTAAATTATCAAAACCAATATCACATAAATATATATATATATCTACTGGTTGGTGGTTTCAACCACTCTTAGAAAATATCAGTCAGTTGGGAAGGATTATCCCACGCATTATGGAAAATAAAACATGTTCCAAATCACCAACCAGTATATGTAACATTGTATCACCAAATTCATTCAATGGGAAATCCAGGATCCTAAAATGGAGGTACTGTACCATATAAGACAATATTTTGTGGGGATATTCCCTTACATAGGCCTTATATAGCCCTTACATATGGTAGGTACCTCCAATTTAGGTTCCTGAAATGGCCATTGAGTATATGAAACATTGTATCACAGAGACCTTTATATCCCAACTTCTAGGTACGAAGTTGGCGACCTGCGACCCATCTGGCGCTATCGCCCAGCGTCTCCAGTAGAGACACAAAAGAAGAAGAGGGTCCCAGCTTCTAAGACCGGCCACCTGCAATGTGGGGCCCCCAAACATGGTGTTTGTTGGTTATAAATCACAGTAACTGTAGTTATAGGTACCAAAAAAACAATAGTTTTTGAAGTTAAAAACCAACTTAGCTATCATTTGGGGGCCCACTTTGCGCGCCCCATGCGGATCTTTGTCAAAACTTGCTGAGAGCTGGGACCTCATGCGGACATGGCTGTTTTAAATGGACATATAATTCCTATAACTAGCTGGTTATACATCAATATAATCCCATGTATAACTGTTAGTTGGGCCGCAAGTGTAGGAAAGTCCTGAACCTTGACATGGAAAATCAGCTAAATTCGGAAATGCTCTGCTAAACAATGTCAATTTTTTTTCATGATATATACATTGATATACCATGTTTGGTGACCAGAGGGTAACATGATTCCTCTAAGGCCTGGTAGATCCGTGACCCCAAAACAAGGAGATCCTGAGAAGTCTCATCCGCAATGGGAATCGGATGATCTACCCTTCTAGAAAGCCAGATTTCATCCCTGCCATTTTTACATCAGTTTTACATTTGACTTTGAGAAGTCATATTGTTTAACTTTATAAAAATCCGTGGTTATTGTAAAACTTTTGAAATTCATCATCCAACCTACAAAGTGGGACCCCCTAGATAGCTAGGTTGGTGAACATAACTCCAATAACTATGGTTTATGGTACTTATAACTACAGTTACTGTGATTTATAAACCAGCAAACATCATGTTTGGGGGCCCCACATTGTAGAATTCCTGCGTTAGTAGATCCAAAATAGGCAAGGATTTCATGAAGGGATCAATCTCGATCACTATTTACCAGCCTGGAATGTTTTCAATTTCAGAAATCCTCAAAAAAAAGGGTTCTAAAACTAGATCCCCAAAACCATGGGTTTCGATACTAATTTTGGATGATTTTGGGAAACTCACATTTTAGGAAACCTCCATATATAGAAACTGCATGTTATGTTGTTACATAATGTTACATAGATATACTTCCGTGAGACATGTAGATGGGTTCAGTAACACTTCATCAATTTCCACTTGTGGCGTCACAACCAGAGTGTGTGTTTGATGAAACCTCAAAGTGGGTTGTACAGAACCTTATATATGTTCATGACGTTGATGATGGCTGACGATGCTTCATCAGCTAGTATTTATAGGGTTTCAACCAACCAAGATGCAGGACTTTTTCCATCCACAGTATGGCAACTTTACAGACATAGATATAATAATAAAGACTTGTCTTGTGAATGATCCCCAGCATAATGGGTAGTATAACCCTCGAACCGAACATCAACTAATCACCATGTATCAATCGTATCAATTATATCCCTATCTCTTGTATCATGGTAAAACCAAAAAAACACTCCTTTTTAAAATACAATAAAAATCATTACAAACCCATAGGTTATCCCATAGATAATGCTTAAATCCAGATTTGACACTATAGTCATCAAGCAACAAGGTTTGAACACCGAGCAGCTCTCGTAGTTGAAAACGATGAACTCCTGCCAAGCACAGCGCCGAAACGCGCAGATGCTCCACGGAACAAGTTGAAACCATAGGAAAATGGGGATTTAACCAAGACAAAAACATATTTAATGGGATTTGTAGCTGGTTGTTGATAGCTAAGTTGGGGGCTACATAACTCCAATTTGACTATATTTATGGTACTTATAACGAACTAGTGAATGGGGATTATAAACCAACAAACATCACTGGGGGCCCCACATTGTAGAAACCCAACAAATGTTCAGTGCAAAAAGTTCAGTCTTTATCAGGAAATACCAGGATGCTTTGATGTTCTAGATGATGTTTACCTCATTGAGCTATCTATCGATCTATCTATCTATCCATCTATCTATCTAGCTATCTATCTATCTATCTATCTAGTCTAATCTAACCTAATCTAATCTAATCTAACCTAACCTAATCTAATCTAATCAATCTATCTAATCCAATCTAATCTCATCTCATCTCATCTAATCTAAATCTACCTATCTATCTATCTATCTATCTATCTCTCTATTTACCTCTCTATCTATTGAAATCCCTTTCTATTTAAGTCTCTATCTATCTATCTATCTAGCTAGCTAGATAGATAGCTAGTTTTCTCTCTATCTATCTATACCTATATCCATTTATCTCTCTATCTATTTATCTCTCTATCTCTCCCTCTCTATCTCTCTATCTATCTATCTCTCTCTCTCTATCTATCTATCTATCTACCTATCTAATCAGGACCCGCAGATCGTGATGAGGGCATGAGCAAAGCCAGCCCCACCCAGGCCACCAATCACATGCCAGTTGATAGGGGATAAACTATCAAACTTATTGCTAAGGATTAAACAAAGAATTAAACTTCTAACTTGGTGAAAACTATGGATAACTAGTGTTTATGGAATAACTATGGTTAACATGTAATTAATCTACTATATATGGATTAAACTATCTATTACCCTTTGGTAATTTAACATTACTATTGAACATGACCATAGGCATAGTTGATTTATCCATTTCAAATGATGATTTTCCATAGCTTGTTGTTAGTTTACCAGAGGGTAAAACTATATATATATAATTTGATATTGATTATGTAACTATAATTTAATTAATCTTAGTGTATATATATTTACACATAGGTGTATGGTTACGTATAATGCATGTATAGTTTGATGATATTGATGTATATAATACAAATATATTTTTTTACATACAGCATACATATATAATCGACCGTCATTCTACCAGAAATTTCAGGACAATGTGATTTGTACTACTAAAACTAGGCGTTTCCAAAACTATACCTGCATTATCAAACTCCAGCGTTATTTGGTATATTGTCTAAAACGATCCTGCTATCAATATCAATATCAAGTTATCAAACTATATGTTATGCATGATATCTACTTGGTGGCTCATCCCACTTACTAAGTAGGTTATAACCCCAGTTCTAAGTGGATTAACCCTACCTATCCCATTGGTAACTGGGGTTATAACCCACTTACGATTCGTGGGTAGTTCGCCACCAAGTGTAGGTCTTCTCCGCAGCAGGCGTCCTGGGTCAGTGACCCCCGGTGAGGGCGACGTCAGGGCTGCACCCAGTGCTGCGTTGGTCGACTTCTCGCGACCCTGCAGGGTGACCGACCTGGCGTTATTTCATTTGTCGGTGATCCACCAGGAGATCCCAAGAAAAATGGTGATTTCATGGGATTTCAATAGGACTTCATAGGATTTCAAAGGATTTAATGGGATTTCATGGGATTTCAAAGGATTTAATGGGATTTCATTTGGATTTAAACCATGTATAATGTGATTTCATAGGATATCATTGTATTTTTGAGGGGATATCTCATCTATTTGTTTTTTTAGGCCAGGGGTGATTCTTATGGGGTAAAACTACTGTAATCGCCTTCATAAGTTGGGATCAAATCCCTACAAGTATGGTGATATATATATATATATATCCTGGTTGGTGGTTTCAATCCCTCTGAAAAATGATGGAGTTCGTCAGTTGGGATGATTATTCTCAATATATGGCAAAATAAAAAATGTTTTACACCACCAACCAGATGGTGATATATATATATATATATATATAACTCTTGATGGTGGAACTGCGCCCCCGAGTAGCGGCTAGGGCACCGCTAGATAGCTGATAGGAACCAGGTGATTCAACCAACAGAACAGGAGGTGTTATGGTACTTAAGGCTAATCTATGATAGCTAAGTTGGTGCAAACAACTAGGTGATTTTTGCTTCACTATGGTATATGGTACATATAAGTTATAACATTCATTGGCTTTATAAACCAACAAATGGGGGAGGTCCACTTGTTTTAAAAAATGATCTATTTTATTCTACTTTCGCTGCGTGGATTTGCTGATGGATCATGTTTTCTGCTCATATAGTGTGCATGTACTGTATGTATATACGATCTGCCCCCCCTCAGTTATAAGTTGGTTTTAAAATCCCAGTAACTGCAGTTATAGGGGCCATAAACCATAGTTATTGGAGTTATAAACAAATTTAGCTATCTAGGGGGCCCCACTTTGTATATATCTTATATAATGTAATTTCATCTACCCCTGGGAAGCACCCCTTGCCACTGGTGAGGTCTTTTAAACAGCTGGAATCCTGGGTATCTGTCATAGAAAGCAGTAGCGAGGTACTACCCTCCGGCAATCAATCGTTACAATGTGAAATACCATATAAATATAAATGATTAAGCGGATGTTTTAATGGAAAAAAACAAGGACAAACAAAAAGATGTTCTATTGTCATATTTGATTACCAGAAGGTATAAATGGGTATATCTCATGGTATATCCGTATCCTGGGAGTCAACGTGAAATGAAACGTGATAGCGGCTCTCAAGATGACCTGTGATCTCCTGTCCACTGACGACAAGGTGCATG